TGACAAGCACGATTGTAAATTCGATTACAAAGAAATGGGCGCTCAAGAAATTCGGCGCAACAATCCAGTTGTTGTTGGTGAAAAAGTGCAAAAAATTTGAACTATTTAGTGTGTAGTCGTTGGGAAAATGGTTATTATAACTATATAAACAAACAGAATATAAAAAAAAACAACACGCAGAAAACGAGATAAATTATCTGGCAGCTGATTCGCACGTCGAGGGGTGAAACGAGCGAGCGTGTAAGATCGATGAGCGAGCGAGAGAGAATGAGTGTGAGTGAGAGCGCGCGCGCAAGAGCGACAGTAAAATTGTTTTGTAGCTGAATGCCGAGGTGAGGTAGAAAGAGAGAAATGAAGAGGAAAAGAAACGAATATCAGACAGAACAAATAAACGAAAGATTGCAAATTAGAATGTGTGCGCGTGAGTGAATGATTCGTAATTGGATGCCAGTGCCATGTAAGTTTCAGATTGTCATCTAGTGAGAGAATTTTAATTGAGAATATACCTGGTTACTAACTGCTGCCAGCTTACTACTATTATTACCTATTATTATCTTCATGATTATTACGGTTTATGATTATTCTATATTATGTTTATTAATTTACTTAAATGGAAAAATTTTTGCGAATATGGAGCTCGTTTTACGTAAAGGCAGAACTCTTGGTGCGGTCAGTCGGTCCAGGACGTCTTCTTAGGAGTTTTGGTTTGTTCGAGAAATTTTATACATTACTGTTTCGTTTATATATATCAAAAAGTAAAAAATAGGGAATGTTGCTTAGGTAATGGCTGACGTTGATGGGTGATCACAATCTTAGGTTAATAATTAGTCTAATAATTATTAAGTATATTAGTCTATTGATTCATAAATAATGCAATGAAGTATAAGTAGTACTGTGTGTTTATGTCCAATTTCACGTGAATATAACCAGCAATTATTACTCATTAAATATGTTTCAACCTATATTGCAAATAATTATTTACACTACGGCCGCCAATCTGGAATTTGTAAATTCAATCCCTCTTTAACGTATTCTCTTCGATTTCTCTTAGAGCATAAATGAATTGTTAACGGTTGAAGTCGATTAGTTTATACTCGTTTTCTTTATTTTTTTTTGCTTGTTTTGCGAGTTTCGTAGGGTAGCTGCGCGAGGTATTCCGGTGCTGCACAGCAGCGCATAATGTAAGAGTAAATGATTAATAAAATGTCTAGAGAGGCCGGGCATTATGTGAACGATGAAAGAAGAGAACTATTAAAGTTTGTAAAGTGTGAACGTATACTAAAAACCGTGCGCGAAGGATATTACACTGATAAATTTTATAAATCCACGTACATACTTCTATTTTTCTTCTCCGCGCTTAAAAGAACTCGTGCTGAATTTTATTTTTTATTTTTCGCCCGTTACTACTCTTACACATGTTTGTAAAGTTATAGCATACGCTAAAAAAGGTGCTATAGCTGTGTCCAGCTTTGTTGTATTCCTGTAAAACAAGATGAGTGAAGACGATAAAACTGCGCAAATTACACCTCACGTACAGGTCAATTCCTCGAGAGCTTCATAAGCGAGATTGAATATTTGGGGAAAAGAGTATTTAAAAAAATAGAACATACTATGTGACTTCCCGATTTTTTCGCGTAAAACAAAGTAGCAGTGATTCCTGCCATTTTTTTTTTCTTTGTGTTATCTTGGGACAAAGCGCTTTAATCTAAATTGTGCTGCCGTGTTTTTATTTTTTGTTTTGTAATTAGTGGACTTGTATAAAGTAAAATATTATCCGCCTAAAACGTTTATTTTTACGTCGCCTCAAAAAAAAAATGTACATCAAATATCTTATTATTTTCGATAAATATAAGCGTTCTGTTAAATGTATAATCGTAAGGTCATCAAGCTTTTTGTGTGTTTTTCTTTCTTCAGATTCTCGAATAAGCGAACGCTCTGCATTAGTTATCCCGTATTAAGTTACCAAATATACTTCACGTGTCGCCGCCGAAAGTACCTCCAGCCGCGAACGAGTTTCTCTTCGGACAACGTCAGCGTCGCAGCTGAGAGAGTTTCCTGAAATTTTTGCGACTTAACGATACCCTAGAAATTAAGGCAATCGGGAAAAAAAATAAGAGGATTATACTTTCGGTATAATCATCGGTATAATTCGGGCACGATTTCTCCGCGATCTTTACGGGACGACTTACATGCGCCGACTTCACATAGACAATATATATATATATTATACATATATATACATATATATATACTTTATCTTGTATCAAGATATTATTGTTGTCGATGAATCTGTTCTTTTTTCCTTTTTGGCGCACCTTTTTAAGAACGCTGATGAGAGAAATCAGAATCGTGTATAGAAGAAAACGCACACCATACAATAGACACGTACACATACACACACACACACACACACATTTACATTCACACATACACTTATAAACATATACACACACGTACACACACAACACCGATTATCAGTAATATCGACGGAATGGTTGCCTTCAGGCCTTCATCCTATTTTAGGCATAGCATATTTTTCTAACGTGTATCGCAATATCGGAATAATCTTGCCTAGCGAGAGCGATCGAATGACCGAGAGGAAGAGAAAGAGGGAGCGAATGACTGAAGAAATGCGTATGTGGAGAGTAGAGAGAAAGAGAGAGAAATGCCTGGGAGAGAGAGGCAGAGAGGAATGCGTGCGAGGAACATAAATGATTTATAGGAGAGGCGAGAGAAAGAGAAAGATTGAGAGACAGAGAGAAAGAAACAAAAAAGAAGTTTATCAGCGATGATCGTACTCGGCTGACTATATAAGGACGTAACACGATGCTTGTAATTATTACGATTGATATTAGTACGTTTAAGCTATTAAAAAAGTAACATCAACTTTAATATATTATATGATTACAATTACCATCCTTTTGAAATGCTTTAGACATTTAGGTTTCACGTACGTAAAGGAAGTTAGTGTGCTCCCACACACCTACGCTTTTCCTCCCTCCTTCTCATTCCTCCCTCCCCCGCCCCCTCGACTCGCGTCCTTCTTCCTTCTCAGGCCCTTAACGGACCCTTTCGACGGTTCTCCAAACGTTTATAATTATAGCGGACTATATTTATGTATATTTAAAAACAAAATATATATAAATGCAATCGCCCCTGAACGAAAGCCGGAAATCGTTTTTTGTGTGTTCTCGAAAACTACTTTATATAGGGTTCTTTAATTAGCACCTCATCGAATTATATTGTAGCTGTATACTGTACAAAGTGATAAAGAAAGACGAGATGAGGTAACGTCCTTCCCCCCCGGACGTGTTTGAATGAGGTGCGACCTTATTTTCTCTGTAATGAAAATTTTGCTGCAATAAACGGTTTATCTTTTATCACGCTGCGTACCCGATAACATCTTGACCGGAATTTATGCTTTTTTATGCGTATAAATGATACCTTTTAAAAATTTAACAGTAAACGCGCCGCAAGTTACACGTCGAACATGTTTTTCTATATGCGATAAATGTATTTGTTCGCGTACAGTTTTTGACTATAGTTTTGACTTTAGCAATTTTATACAACACATGTATGATTAAAAAAGTTAAACCATTAATGTCTGTCTTACCGAAAAATATAAGATATATAATAAAAGAATAGAAAATTATTTCTGAGATATCTTACGAAATTGGAACGAAAAAGAAGAAATAAGCGACGATGGTCATCGAAAAGGAAATTAGTAAGTGAAAAGAAAAGGGACAACTGCTTTTCCCGTGAATAAAAATTTTGCGAGGAATCGGATACTTGAAAATTCAAGAAAACGAATTCTTATCTATTTTTGGTTAGAACTCGCTCTACATGTGAATTAAATCGCGTAAAATCGAATATAAATGCCGAACCCTAATATAAATGCCTCTTCGATTGTATAATTTACATCCATTGTGTGAAAATCAACCCGCGGTGAACGTGAGGAATTAAAAAGTTAGATAACAAGGCATTATGTGACAATGATTATTTCAATAGGAAAATAGTACGTGGGCAATGGGACTTTTTATTGATTCTCGTGAACGCAAATACGCTTCTCTTTTTTGACTTATATAAATTTGGCATGAAGCCATTTTCTGTCAGAAATTAAAATATCTTTCAGCGAATTTACATAACGATATAATATAAACGCATGTAACATAACATTTATAGACAATCAGCATGAATCAGCGTAAGTCGCCATTTTATGTTGTAGAGCTTGGCATTGTGATTGATCGGAACATCGTGCTTCTACCATGTGAATCCGTATTCCGTGATCTTAAAGGCATATTCGGAAGAGTCGACCGATCATGTAATATGTAAAATGTAATAAAGTTCGTATCAGACTATACGATTGGAGATTGAGGATTGACGAATTCGATCAATATATAATTTTAATTTTAATCCGTTTTGCTCTACTGGTTGAATTCTAATCTCTAATTTGCAATCCTTAATTAATCCATTATACAGTCTTATATTGATTAGCCCGTCTAATAATAAATTATAAAATTAATATTATATTGTTTGCTGAATTTTTAACAGCCATGTTAACTTCCATATATGATTGTCGATCTTTAATAGTATCTCATTGGTGTTTAAGTAAATAATAAACGCCCATTTTTTTTTAGGCGGGGAGAGAGGGGGTTTGAAATGCTGTAATATTTTGCAAACCACAATTAGTGTACTGCCTCTAGTCTAGAGATAGTAATCGTGGTTCGCATTCTCAAAATATTATAGTGCATGAGCACCGAATGGTATTAACCATAAAACGTGTCGCAACCGTTTTGTCCACGACTGTGACACGTGAGACTGATAACATTGGACAAAATAAAAGGTCATAATTATCTGTTCAACAACATCCAATAATAATAATTCAGATAATGAGGACTAACAAAATTGCATTGCATTTATTATTATTATTTTTTTTGAAAATTCCAAAACATGATCGAACGACAACGCAAAATGGACAACGATTCTTTTCGATATATCGATCGATATATTTGTGTTAGTACTCGCTCATTACCTCCACATCGTTGCAGTTGCCGGCGTAATTGTTGTGAAAACGATTTTCAAGCGTACTACAACAAGAGTCGTTGGAGAATATTTTTCAACGAATTGCCGCTTGCAAGGGTTTCTAAGGTTCCAAGAAAAGCGTTCGCGACGATATCCAGCCGCAATGTCGATCGGAGTTCCCATTAAAGTGCTTCACGAGGCGGAGGGCCATATCATAACCTGTGAGACGAACACCGGCGAGGTCTATCGCGGTAAACTGATAGAAGCGGAGGACAACATGAATTGTCAGATGCAGAATATCACAGTGACGCATCGGGACGGTCAGGTGGGACAGCTGGAGAACGTATACATCCGCGGCTCGAAGATCAGGTTCCTCATATTACCGGATATGCTGAAGAACGCGCCCATGTTCAAGCGACCTGGTGGCAAGGGATCGGGCTCAGCCGGCAGAGGGAAATCCGCAATATTGCGAGCTCAAGGTTCGTGCTGTAACGCAAGACCGTTACTCCCTGTAAACGTCGTTCGAATGATGTAATCGAAGAAGTATTGATATCCTGAAAAAATAGACACTTGTAATCGAAAGCGAGAGAAGATGATTATTAAGATGAATTAAGTTGGTTTAACAGAATATAAAGAATGAACAGAACTAAGACCTTAATTTTTGTTTTAAAAATTAATTAGAACAATTAAGTGAATAGTAATTATATCATTCATCTAATTAAGAGGAGATAATTGTATATATATATATATTTTTTTAGTGCAGTAAAGATATTTAATAATAAAGTAAATTTTTTTTGTAGATTTAAATCCTTTTTAAGATAAGATTTGCATGTATTGCACTCGTGTACATTTGAGAAATTGTGTGTTATGCTTTTAATAAAATGCTTTCAGCTCGTGGTAGAGGAAGAGGACAAAATCAGAGAGGCAAGGGCACTGGTTCGGCACCTTGGCTGAATCAACAGAGTCAACCTGGTGGATCTCAAGCTGGGAGAGGCAGGGGATAAATCTTGTGATAATAAAGAATTATATTCTGATTATTTAAATACGAGTGTGTAATTTCATTACCATCTTTTTGTATCATTTCTAAATAATATTTCTGCATACATTTAAAATTGTAATCTACATTTTTAATGTGATTAATGATAAATAAATTGTATTATAATTATACATACTAAAATTTCTTCTTCGAAGCTAAATTAGAATCAAATAATGCTATTTCACTGTCTGTTTTGATCTGCTTAATATGATCTGATTAATCGATCTGATAGATTACCTTATGATATCGATTTTACAACATAAAATACACTGAAAGAAGTAAGGAACAGGGAGTTAAACATAGGGATTTAGGAAAAAGGCAGATTTTTATCCTACTCCGACTTTTTCCTGATTCTTTTTGTATCAATTTGTTGTTTCTTATTCCTTCCATTGTGTCTGAAAACTAAAAGTTTAAGGGCTCAGACGCAATAAGAAAAAATAAAGAAAAAATTGAACGTAAGGAATTAAGCAAAAATCAGAGTAGGACGAAAAAAACTCATTGTCTGTCTCTTTTACCTAATTTCTAATACTTAATTTCCTGTTTCTTATTTTTCTCTGCTTACTCAAGAAGAAAATATATTTATTGAATACTGAAATGTAAATCCGTAATCCTAAAATTTGTCTTCTCTCACTACTTCCATCTAGTGGCAACTTGAGTAATTAATTTTTCAATACCTACCTGTTCTTTTTCATATCTATTCACATTTGCAGTTCATGATCTTACGTTCACACGTGTTTTTCCGACATAACCTTTTGTAAACACGGTTGCCAGAGATATCCACTATCCGGAGCAACATTAAAAATCCCTCCGCGGTTGTAAGATGTTTAACAAATTTCAGCCGCAATTACTGAACGTAAATAGAAAACCCAGCCAACCGAAGAGGCGAAGGAAGATTACACTTGTCTTCGACGAGGAAAAGCGACGGTAATTATTTCGAGAAATCGCATATTTGCACGTTGTGTATATGTAAATATCTTAGAACATATATTGTATATATATGTTCTAAGGTAAACATGTAGTTGACACAAATCAACAATTTATATACATGCAAGAATATAGAGATTTTTTAGGGGGATTTCGTAAGAGGAAGCTAGAGCGAAAAAGAAAGGCTCAGGAGCAATTACAGCAACAACTGAAAGAGGAACGAAAAAAAATTAAACAAGAAGTGAGTCATATATCATTTGGAAATAACAAGATGTTGCCCGAAGAATTAGAGAAAACGTGATGTGTATTTTTTTTTTCAGGCACGAGAACGTTATAAAAAATCATTATCGCATCAGGTTGTCCCAGAGATAGAAGAATTGTTATCCCGGCAAGAAATTGATCTAGAGGGTCATACAGTCAGTATTCTAGAGTTGAACGTTGCAGATCTTGCAGAAGGAAGTAAATGGATAGGTGAAAACAAAGTTGCAGAGGAAAAAGAAGAGGAAGATAACAAAAGTAATGACGACGACGACGACGATAATGACAACGACGAGATCGTGGGAATGTCGTTGCAAGAGAAACGTGAAACTCAGGTGCAGGAAAAATCCAAATCTGATGGCCGAGAGGTGAAATCGAGGAAGGAACTGAAACAAGAAGTAAAGAAAGTAGCGCTGCAACGAATGAAGAAAAGCAAGGCGTTCCAACAGAAGCAGAGACTGGAACAGCAGAAAAACAAAAAGCTAAGTAGACAGAAATTGCACAAAGTCCAGAAGCTAACGCAGAAACGCGGCAAGAGGACTAAAAAGAAATCCAAACGCTAGACAGATATTTAACAAATTTACTGCGCAAACTCTAAACATATTTAATATTTTGTAATAAACATCGTGTGTACATACATAAATATACATTCATCGCTTCTTTATCTTTCCACCTTTTGAGACGTATGGACAAGTGTCCTTGTTGAGACATTCCGAACATTTGGGAAATTGAGGTAGACAGGTTTGTTGACCGAATCCCACGAGGAGATGATTAACTTCGCTCCACAGTGATTTGGGAAGCCAATCCTCCAAGTCGGTTCTCGTCTGCTCCGGCGTCTTGGTTGGCTTCCTCACCCACCCTAATCTGTTGCTAATCCTGTGAACATGCGTATCCACGCCGATGCCGGACACTTCTCCCCATGCAGTTTGCATGCATAAGTGAGCCATTTTAGGGCCTACTCCTGGCAAATCGCACAATTCCTTCACTGTTTTCGGTACGTCGCCGCCATATTTATCTAGAAGGATCACTGATGTCCGCTTTATATATTCTACCTTCCTCTAAAATAAAAAAAAAGAAAAACGCATTTTTAATACAACATTAACTATAAATCTAAAAGAAAATTATAAAAAGTATGCACTATTACATATTACTGAACTGTTAAACATGTATAAACATAAGTTAAAAGATTAGTAAACAGAAAACAAGCTTATAAATGAATCGGGAATAATCGATTTACAGAATTATTAATTATTATATATTTATAGAATTATTTTACTTTCATATGCCAAGAAATTTAAAGGTAAAAAACATCTTGTAAATAAATATTGTCTTAATAAATTATATATACATAATAAATATGATCTTTACCTTCCAAAAACTGACTGGATATATAAGCTTGCCTAGAACATCATCAGGGGTAGCCGCTATCAAATCCGGTTTACAGCCGTAAGTGTTTAGACGTTGCATAGCAGCGTGCGTGACCTGGTCCTTCGTTTGACTGCTCAGCATCAGAGCTATTAACGATTGATATCTGGACACCGCAGGATCGGCGTTGGGATCCGAACACTTGTGGCAGCCCATCGTGTCAACTGGAGCCGTCTCGTGCTTTCGCATCTCTCTGATGTTTTCAAGAATAGTCTCCCAGTTCGATGGCATCCATCGTTTCTCATCCTCGACATTCTTTGGGTCCGTCAACTGTTCATTCTCGGTCTTTGTCTGACGTTTATCAGTTTTGGTATCTTTAACGTTTGTCGGCACCGCCGCGTCTTCGCTCTTCACCACGACCGCCGTTCCCTCGACGTTCGCTTCGTCCTCCAACGCATCGTGCTCGATCTTGATCGGCGTACGTTTCCCCGTGCCGGTCCTCTTCTCGCCGCCGGCGAAGTAGGGCGACGCTTTCTCCGAGGAGTCCGCGTTGACGAGGGTCTTGCCCGAGCGTAAAGTTCTCGACGCCGACGAGAGGCCAGACAGCTTCAACCGCTTGCTCATTTTATCGGACGAGACGCGTCAACGCGTGCTGTCAACGTATCGAATTAATTCTTACGAAGTAAAAACGAGGAAAATTACGTTCTACAGCTGCGCCATTCGAAATTGGCATAACCATTCCCGCTCGTGCTGGTCAGTTGAGGTTAGACTGGTTGGAGTGAAGAGTTCGTTCCCGTTCGCTGTAGCTGCGCCCGCTCGTCTTTCTGTATTCTTGAAACGAGACAGATACATAATTTAGACGTTGGGAAGGAAAAGAGAGAAGATTAAAGGTGCAAAGTCTTCTGCTGCAAAGAACAGATTTTAGATAAAGCAATTAGCGTCATTCATGTATGATAAAAATTGTGTACCGTCATTCTCGTGTTTTTTTTCCAAGAAATTACTTCGGGCTTTTTAATTGCAGAATTAAAATATATTCCGTTTATTAATATTGCGCTTATTTGCAACCAAATAAATGAAAGCGAATTGACTTATCGTGAAATAATATTGCAGAGACATCGAGGTCTGTTCATTGCAGCTGAACACTCGTACGCTCGTTGTACCGCTTAAAGTGAAATAGATACATATTTCAAGATTGATTAAAGCGAGACAGAAAGTTCAAGTGCAGCAACAACGAACGAGCCCACTGTGGCTGGAGATTGTGGCAAACGAAACGTCAACATAACCTGATCCAAAAGCGGATCTAACCAGATCTATCGACTTCGAGGTTTGTAATACGTGATATTTAACGTTGATCCGTACTTATTTCGAGGAAACACGATAAACTTGTAACATGAATAATTGTAGCGAAGGAAGACGCACTATTTTTGAAATGCATACTTCTACTAATTTTACTCTACGCGGTGGTGACGCAGCGTTCGCCAACAGGCAGCAATTGCTGTTCGATCAGCTCTCGATCGCGGAAAGCAAGTGCAATAAGCATGACAGACCGGAGGCGGACGACGTGGAGATGCAGGAGGAGAGCCCCCGGGGTTCGGGGAAGAGGCCAGCCGCGAGCGACGACCGCAGGCAGAAGAGAGAGACGAAGAAGTTTCGCGGCAGGGAGAGTATCTTCAAGCGTCCGGAGGGTCCGGCGCCGCGCGCGAACCTGAGAAATATTCCGGACCATCACAGAAATCCGCACAAGTGGGTCAAGTATACCCTGGACGACGTGTCGAGCGAGGACATGACGGACCGCAGCAACATGCAGGCCGCTATGTCGTTCCTGAGAGAGTTGAAGGCGCGCAGGAAGAGGGAGGAGGAGGAGGAGGAGGAGGAGGAGGTCGACGAGGGGATGGACGTCGAGCCTTGCGTGTCAAACGCGGCGGGTCCCACGGAGACGCGGTTCAAGTCCAAGAAACGCGCCTCGTCGCAGATCGCGTTCAGAAAGCCACGGACGGAAGAGACGGCGGAGGGTGTCGCGGCGATCGTGGAGCCCGACGACAGGCCGATATTCAGGAGCAGCAAGATCATCTTGCCGGAATACGTGATCGGGCAGAAACCGAAGAGGACGTGTAAACAGAATCGGCCGGTGGTCAAAGTCGATCGCTCCAAGGAGCTTAGATTAGATCATTTGCAAGAGCCCGACGACGACGACGAGGAGGAGAATGATTGAGATGTAAGATATTATTGTACACAAATATACAGAGATTGAGGTTTCACGAATCACGGCTAAGCTCGATTTAGGCCCATTTCTACCAATGTAGATTAATTTTAATCTCCAGTTTAATTTACTCTTTATCTTCTTCTAATTCTCAGAATTAGAAAAAGACAAAAATTAAGTTGAACATTATAACGTTAATCCACATTGGTAGAAATATGGATTAGACCTGGTTCCACAAATGTAAAATTAATATCAATCTTGGTCCAACTTACTGTTGTACCTCTTTTCAATTCTTAGATTAGAAAAAGATAAAGCGAGAACTTCGGTCAATATTCATATTTCTACCAATGTAGATTAACGTTGGAATGTCGGTTTAACTTAATTTTTGTCTTTTTCTAATTCTAAGAATTAGAAGAAGATAAAGAGTAAATTAAACCAGAGATTAAAATTATATCTACATTGGTAGAAATGGGCCTAATTGTATATCAGGCTTCACGAGCGTTCACAGATTTTATGAACGTGTAGAAACGCTATAGCTCATTTAAAGAAGTGCATATTAATCTCTATAGATAGTATCTGGTAAATTAAGATTACAAGTTATGTATAATATCTAGCACGAATAAGATTATGCAAGTAAAAAGTAAGATTTCAATGTAAAATATGTGTATAATTAAGAGCACATAACGCGTATCTTCTTTTAAGTTTTATTTTTGAGATCTCGTCAAGTATCTGATCGTTTTATCTGTATTCCGTGTAAAAGAAAGGAAATAGGTCAACACGTAGGGTAACTGTCCCTATTAATGTGCCCTGAACCTATTAGTGTGCTTTTATATTTATATAAGTCATAAAAGTAAACTGGTACAAATATATAAAGTATTCTTTTTTTATTAAGTTAAAGTATTAACTTTATAGAAAAAAAATACTTTGTCTATTTATTTGTACCAGTTTATTTTTATGACTTATTTAAATATAAAAGCACACTAATAGGGACAGTTACCCTATCTTCTTTTAAGTTTTATTTTTGAGATCTCGTCAAGTATCTGAACATTTTACTTGTATTCCGTGTAAAAAAAAATGGAAATAGATCAACACGTATCTTCTTTTAAGTTTTATTTTTGAGATCTCGTCAAGTATCTGAACATTTTACCTGTATTCCGTGTAAAAAAAAAAAGGAAATAGATCAACACATATCTTCTTTTAAGTTTTATTTTTGAGATCTCGTCAAGTATCTGATCATTTTACCTGTATTCCGTGTAAAAAAAAAGGAAATAGATATAGTTACAAACATATTAATACTAAAACTTTCTGAAATGCTTTTCCAATTAGTCTTCATTGTAAGAGTTCGAACGTCAAATAAGTGAGATGCCTTCTATATCAACCATACTTTCTTTCGAGTGTAGAGGGAGTGCAACACCTCGTGCTCCACTGCTCCACTCGCACGAAAGCAGCTGCAAACGATATCGAGTGCACGTCGTGTGGCGTTAGGTTAGGTCAGTTAGGTGTGCTCGCCCGGACGCTCGCTCCGCGCTCGTCCGCGGGATTGTTCGCCGGCAGGGGAGATCGGGTGGCTCGAGGGAGATATCGCTGATCAACTCGGTCGGAGCGACCGCTTGAAGTTGCGTCGAAAGTACCTCGGTAAGTGCCGTCGCGGGGCCGCGCATCGTGATCGCGCCCGGGCGGCGCGGCACGCTTTCGCCGCCTTTGGGGAGGGGGTGGGGGCAGCCATAACCTGTACGCGCGTACCTGACCTGGCTGCCGTTTCGATTTTCAAAATGGCGTGCCGTGTGTGAGTGGCAAGGCGAGGAGATTCCGCCGCACGTCGTCGTCGTCGCCGTCGTCATCGTCGTGGTGACATCCGGTGATCGGTGATCACAACCCCGTCGTGGTCGTCGAGTCCGCGAGCACGTGTACGGTGCCGCACGCGCGAAGTTGCCCCCTCGTCGTCGTCGAGAAGAGTTATGCCATCCCGATTGCGCGCACGGCGTAGGACGTAGGAAAAATCCATTTTTTTCCTCCGTTTTTTTTCATTTTCCTCTTTTTTTCTCCTCCGTTTTCGTTCCCGATGGCGATCTCGATGGAAATTCTCCTAGCGGCGTTCTCCGTGGTATTCAGTCTATTAATAGTGTTCCTCCTTGTTGTGATAGGTAAGCACTCGTGTCAGAGCGCTGGTGACTTGATCGCGACATAATTGATCCCGACATAATTACGTCATCAGGGGAAACAAACAAAAAAAAACACACACGCGGGTTCAGCAGCACGAGTCTCTCGTTTTTATTACGTGCTAAGTGCGGATTGCTGGTAACTGTAAACGCGGATCGTGCATAGACATAGTTAACTGCGTTCTAGTACTTTCTAAATTTAGTGCATCACTCACGTTTTTACATTTATCGCTAGCGGTGATAAGCATCTTTTTTTTTCATTATGTCATGCTTTACACGTTTACATTTTGTTTCATTGCGTCGCAATAATGAGCTTGCTATAATAAATTTAAATACCAAATTATAAAATTTTATATATATATATATATAATTCAGGCTAAGAATTTGAAATATTGATTAAAATGCTTAACATGTTATTATTAAAGACGTTTAATCATGCTTTACACATTTACATTTTGTTTCACTAAGTCGTAATAATGAGCTTGCTATAATAAATTTAAATAACAAATTTAAATTATAAAATTTCATATATATATATATATATAAAATTCAGGCTAAGAATTTGAAATATTGATTAAAATGCTTAACATGTTATTATTAAAGACGTTTACTAAATCGAACAACAGATAAGTCTAGTTTATGCAGGCTATAACCGTTAACTTTTGCCAGAACTAATAAAATTTAACACTAAGATTTCAATACTGTCATAATGATTTATTGAACAAAAATATTAAAATCCTAGTGTTGAACTTTACCGGTTCCGATCCACACAAACAAGGGTTTAAGCATGTAAATGTAATCCAAATTCTTAGCTAAATTATAAACTTACTGAACATAATGATTAAAATCGTGCATGTTAAGAGTACTATATTGCTTTTGTATTATCGTATGGCATATTCGTAATATTCATGCAATGATTTCTTTCACCAGGTTGGTACTTAGTCTGGACGTTCTTCCTATCACGGTTCCGCTTTGTGAGAGAGTTGACTGGGAATGGAATGACTGAATCGTCATCGGTTAACGATTTGAAGAACGGCCGCGCACGCATAAAAAAACTTCGCCGTGATTAAATATTGGACAGTATATTGGAGCTATTGTTAATAATACCGATAATACGAAACGAAACGGTAAATTAATCTTGGATCAAGCCCGTGGCAGAATACAACCCGACTAAAAATGTCTGTAAATATACGGTGCGCGACTACGGAAGATCTGCTGAATATACAGCATTGCAATTTGCAGTGCTTACCCGAAAATTATCAGATGAAATATTATCTGTACCACGCTCTGTCGTGGCCACAGCTGAGTTACGTGGCGGAGGACGAGAAAGGGAGGATAGTGGGATACGTGCTCGCCAAGATGGAAGAGGATTGCGAGGACAATCCCCACGGGCACATCACCAGTCTCGCCGTAAAGCGTTCCCACCGAAGGCTCGGCATCGCGCAGAAGTTGATGAATCAGGCCTCACGGGCGATGGTGGAGTGCTTCGGGGCGAAATACGTTTCGCTGCATGTGCGCAGAAGTAATCGGGCAGCTCTGAACTTGTACACGAGTAGCTTGCAGTTCGAGGTGTCGGAGGTAGAGCCGAAATATTATGCGGACGGCGAGGATGCTTATGCTATGAAGCGAGACCTCACCAGCTTCCATCACGAGAAGGCTCTTCGCGATAGAGCGCACAAGGAGGGCAATGTTCACACGCACCTAGGTAGATGCTGCGGCGATCACTCTTAGTCCATTCATCATTGCTGCTGGCGAAACCGGATTTGATTTTTAAATTCACATACGAATCATGATACGAATCTGAAAATAAAACCTGCCGCAAGTCGTTTGCCAAGAAATGACTGGAGATCATGCCTGAGACTACGTGTGTCTCAGGGCTTATTAAAACTAATGAATACTTTGTTATTTCTTGCGTGGGGCAAGAGCTTCCACTTCTACGGCGAAGCTTGACTTGGTAAAAATATTTTATATGCGACTGAAGGACAAAAGTTGTTAAAGTTTGCATGATGGAGTAAGGTTAGACTTTTGGGGGACTGTTGTATTTTTCAGTTTACGCAATGCGCAATGTAATTAAGACTATAAATTAAGACTATAAATTGACTTATAAATACATGAGAAATAAAGAATTCTGGACAGTCTAATTGACCTTTTTTTTTTCATTATAACTTTATTGAATGACTGAAACTGTAATTCACACGTAACGCGCCACTATGTAAAATTAATTGTTCAGGGCGTTGTCAAGCGTGTTGTTAAAAAGTACGGTAGAAAAAAATAATATTTTACAGCACTGAAATGGGCTCAATTTATACAGTTCCTACTTACACTTTCGGATCTACGAACACTCGTCTCGATAGATCTTGAAATATTTTGTCTTTTTCAGTGTATTTTGGCTTAAAAATTATTTTTGACATTGCACGATATTCAAGTCAGTTTACACCACTATTGCATCTCGGATGTACCATAATGCTTGTGTATACATACTCCATTTCTGTAATAGGAATAATTATATTATGTATATATATATATATAATATGTATAAATATATCTATGTACAAATAAGGTGTTCTTAAAGTAACATAATTATATAATTTCTAACGTATCTCGAGTTTGCAAACGACACAAAGGAGTCTTCAATGATAAAACGCAGGAATTGCATTGATAAAATGCAGTCAATGCGCGATTATACCGAAAACATTAAAGTGTCATTATGATAGCGATAAACAAATTTTCGATGTGTAGTCGACGTTGCTTCAACGACATCACGCGCGTCACATCAAGAGGTTTCCGTAACTTCTTTTCATCTAATCTTGGGATAGCTGCCCTCGGATATGTAGCTCGTAAGTTTACAGTAATACCGTTACGTATACATTTACGAGTGACCGACGCGAGGATGATACAACTATCGTGAAAAGATTGTCCAGGTACAAAAGAGAAATCAGGGGAATGACGAGTTAGTGTTCGTGAATAACATCAGTAACTTCGTCAATTCGTCAGCCTGCGTTTGCAATAAGGAGAAACTATTCCACTTAATGCTATAACACGACATATCCGAATACGTGATTCAACGCGGATAAGCACCTATCAATTTGACTATCATATAAACTTCTAAATATACAATTCTATCTGTATATATATATATATATATATAAAACTGCCTGCTATATGTATTATATTACAAAAACACTTCGTCAATAAATTATAATACAATTCTCGTAAACGAGGTTCGTGTATAAACGCTTCTCCATGCGCGATATGCCTGGGTATATAGTCTCTAAAAAAATGTAAAATAAATGTCGTAAAGCGGCGTCTACAATTAGACTTAAGACTTATTAAGATTTAAGAAAATTGACCAACCACATTTCCTAAATCTCAAGTTTTAAGTCTCATTGTAGACGCCGCTTAAGTTGCCCTTAAAAGATCGTTTCTGTTACGCAACAGTAAATCACATTAGTCAATCTAAATAAGATAAAAAAAGAAATTGAAAGAGAGATAAAGCCTTGAGATGAATTCTAATAAATGCTCGTAATCGTTAAAGCTGCAACAGAAAGTCACATCTTGATACACGGCTATGTAACATACGTAATCGTATTCACAATCACAATTATATCTCCGTTGTTTAAACGAGGCGCGATAAAACTCTATATATAGTCGGATGGTTCCGCATGCGTTGAGCGAATGCTATGGTCGGCGAGCTATTTTTATTTTAAGTACACTTTCGCACGTGGAGAATGCCATTAGAACGAGTGCGCCGCAAATTAGCGGTTGGATCGTATACATACTTTTGGCCGACAGGCGTGAGCTCGAAAATGATCTTACTAGATCTTAAGATTCTCTTAGGTGAAGGTATTATTGTTCGTTTTAGCTTTAGTCTCTTTAAGATCCATTTTTTAATCGAAAAAAATATTTCAATGATTAAATAATTAAAAAGTAATTCCATGATTTGATCTATTTGAATGCTATGGAAAAAAATCCAGATGATGAAACGAAAATTCTAAATGCGATATCCTTTAAACATTTATGTTGTCAATCTATTAATCACAGGATCTAGATCTAATAAAAACGTTCGTTTGTGTGTTCTATAAAAAAGGCGTTCAATAAAAAAAAAGGCGTTATTGGTCTCGTTGTGCAAAAAGATTCGCGAGTACGCGTGTAGTTGCCGTGGAAATTTTTGCGCGTCAACAATAATTTACAAGTTCGATCCGCCGCTGATTGCGGTTCACAGTGTACGCACGTGGCTAATTTACTGTTTTATGGAAGAGCCTGGTAAAAAGGCCTGGGCGCCCGAAAAAGTCGTAAACCCGGCGGTAAAAGCTTCGTATAAAATTCTTTAAAAATTGTCTTCCAAAAAAACTGTCCGCAACACGTAATAATTCGCCTTCGCGGGGATATCCCAAAAGGAGGGTACTGCCCGCAGAGGAGTCTGCGTTGAATTTTCTTGGTGTCAATTTTTTCGACATGCGATCGAGTTACAAAAACAGAAACGCGGTTGTTCCTCAATTCGACATGCGGTATTCATATCGGTCTTTTCGCCTTCGAATAAAAGCAGCGGTGATTCGTCACTACAGGAAAACACTTCAAACCCGTCATTAAAATTGTCAATCACCGATTCCAATTTAATATCCAGTTAACTGTAATTGCGATTTCAGTTATTTCTTGTTTTGATTTCAATTCTTTCGAAAGAACAAGGAATCCGCGAAAGTAAAATTACAGCTACAATTGGCGTCGGTGAAACCGGTTTCGAAAGAGAGATATGAATACACATGTTGTCTAGTCGCGTGTGTATGTTCTATTGTATACGTACATCTATAAAACTACTAACACGTTTAGCTGCATACGTCATCGGCGTATATCCGAAATGGACTTTGCAACGTGGCAAGACTTTGCAGCGGGCGCTCACCAGGTCGCAAAATTCGCAAAAGCCGTTTCGGAAATGTTTTTACTCGTGCCAGAAAGCTATCGGCCTCGTTATACTCCGTTTTCACACGTCTACTACCAATCTAATTGAACAGCTACATATGTTTCCTATGAAAGATTATACAATGCTTATATTCTCGAGTACATTACAAAGACACTCGTCCCAGGGTTGTGGTTTTCTTCGTTTCTTACGTTCTATATACCGGAGCTTTGGCAGTAGCAGGTTCCTATTTTAGGCCACGGATTTTTCTTTATATAATGAAATGGGATAGTAGCTGCACGGGACGCACTAAAGTGTGCGGACATCCGAACACTTCACTCTCGTGAAGCGTACGTATGGGCCATGTTTGATTATCTCGCCATTTAAATGTCGAAAGTACTGTTGAAATTCTAGCGAAACTCTTTTGCACTAGTGCTCGTTTTTTTTTCCCCTCGAAAAAAATAACAGGCGCATTCAGTACTATTGTATATTTCTATTTGTAAATGGCTGAATCTCAAAATAACAGCAGCCATCAATAATCCTCTCAGATAACGCTTGAAGGATCACATCCATGAGAAATTCCTGAGATACTTTTGATCCACTTTCGTATAAGAAAGAATACTCATATTTCATTAACGCGCTGAAGATTCTTCAGCGACGTTCGTTTAAAACCCCGACGAGAAAAGAAAAAAAACCGCGAAAAACAGACTCGGCGTTGATCCCTCGAGCGTTGTCTTCAAATCAACGCGATTGAACTTCCAATCGCGAGATAAATCCAAAAATGCGTTACGTTTGAATCTTTTGCAGTCTCGGAGCTTCTCCGTTAACGCGGAAGAAGCCCGTCGAGAGTTGTGTTTCAGTTGAAGGAACTTGTGGTTTCGCGACCGCGTAGTGACGAAGATGCCCCTCAGGGCTGTTGAGCGGCGTGTATCATGGCGACCTTGAGATCCTTGGCCAGGTGTGAGACGTCGACGACGCTGTCGACCATCTCCTGGACCGCGGTGACGCTCGGGAAGAATTGGGCGGCCTGCTTCGTCTTCTGCACCGTCTGCCCGAGCGCCTCGTTCAGGGCGTTCGCACATTGTAGCACGCGCGTTCGCACGTCGTTGCGTGTCACGTTCCGATGCACCGTGTCGCCGATATGCACTAGTCGGTGCGCACTCAGCACGACGAACTTGCCGTGGGCTAGGAAAACCTATAAAATTCCACGACATGTTTCAAACAGATCCTTCTTGCGCCTTTTTCACCTCAACAACAAACAAAAAGGATTAGAAACTATTTGAAGAATGAATGATTTGAATATGATGAATAGATATTTGTTAAATTTGACTCGACGGAATATCGACGGAAGGTTTGTAAAAATGACAAAGATAACGCTTAAAACAAATCATAAAGGAATTAACGATTAATAATGTTAAATTTGTTTTATATCTTTTTACACATACTTGACACGGTTATATTTTATATATTATTCTGTTTATCTTTAATATATTTTATATATCTTTAATATATTTTAAAATTTTAAGCATTCTCAGTTTTATCGTCTCGATCCCGATTTTACAATGTACACTTTACTAACTACTTATCTTTAATCGCGTTGCCGGATTGCGTGCAATGCACTTGCGAAGGAAAAGAGGTCATCGTGAAAAAATAATGGAAACATGCCGTTGACATGTGCTAACTTAAGGCACGCTGTCACACAATAGCACTGCCGATATCTACGAGTCTATCATTCTTATCGAAACTGTTGACCTATATGCACATGTGTTTAAAAATGTTCCGTGATGATATAAAGAAGCACAATACAAAAAAAAACTAAATATGAAGAAAGTTGAAAAAAATTTTTTCTCTATAATTGCAATAGATTTAATCTAAATTTTTCTCCTAAAGATAGCAATGATCAAGCGTCGTTGCAGCCGATCGACAAACGTCTCAATTAACTTGTATGAAATAATTGATTAAAAAAGTGTCTTTGAGAAGATAAGAACGATCATAGAAAATTTAAATGCAATTTAAATTAAATTAAATTAAATTAAATTGTGTATTTATCGAGACCGTTTGTTATTTCAATCAACAGCACAGCTCAAGATCTACACGTCTCACGTGAAGAGGCGCGACGGGTGGCACCGGTATTACAAGAACTGTTACAATTCAACTCGCCTTGGGTGGTTGATTGTGCTCCACCGTTTGCAGAAAGGCGTCGATCGCGTGAGTCAGGTGCGCGCCGTGCGTGATGACCTGGGCGACATAGAAGGCTAACAATTGCTTGTCGTTGGGATCCATGGGCGTCGGGGTCGTGGGTGGCATCTGAATCGCGGCATTGTCCGCCTCGGACACCAGCAGGTCGTAATTGCTGCGCAACTCCTGCGGCAGCGAGGCCCGCAGTTCCTCTCGTTGCTTCGAGACGACCTCTCGCGAGTCGAGATTTACATAGTCATAATCCTCCCCGGCGCCGCTATTGTTGCTGCTGCCCGTAGAGATGATCGACGCCCGCTTGAAGAGCAACGTGGAATTTCCCTGCACAGACAGAGCCTCTTCATCAGGAACAAAGATTCATCCCTCAAATGTCATCAGCTTCAGTCGTATAATAAATATTTAAAAAAATTCAAAATTGAAAAAAAAATTAAAATAATAATTAATTTCTTCAGCTCTGTAAATTCAAAATAAAAAATTAAATTTGTAAGTATTACATGTTTCCCTGCTCTTTTTTTCTTCTCTATCTATTTTAATTCTTACAAGATAAATTAAAAACTAAAAAAAATGAAATGAATTTCTTTTTAATTTTTATTTAAATTTAAGTTTCCTTTTTATTATCGAAATATAATTACACAAAGTAATATCAATAAAAAGTGTAAATGGATAGAAGAAAAAATAAAAACAATTTTAAGATCGTTCTTCCATTATTAATTCGTCAGCTTGATCTAAATTAATGCACCCTCTTTCTCTTCAGAAACATTATAATAATTGCCCACAGTTGGCTACGTTTGAAATCGGAAGACATTATTCGTAACAGATATATCAAACTTTACGGTTGCAAAGATACTTACTTGAATGAAGCTAGCGACCTGACGAACGTCTTCCGTGAGTGCTCGAGCGCACGCGATCAGCTGATCAAGGGGATCCGACTGCACAGGTAGTAGCAGCGAGGACGGGGGTCCGTTAGTAGGCGTCGGTGTATCACCACCGCCACGACAGAGTTTACTCGCGTCCCATTCCATCGTGTCCAATTCGGTAGCGGCTTCCTGTACGAGCTTGTCAGAATCACGAAGCGCCTTTACCAGCGGCCGTAATTTCGTGGCCAGGCCCTTATCTGGCGCTTTGCCCGCATTGCCCAGCGTACCTGCATGCAGAATACAATATCTCTCAAAATTACAGCAATGCTGTCTGCAGCATATTCTAGTGCTTATTGAAAAGACAGAGTGGATTATTGCGAATTCAAAGTTTCGCAAATCAAAATATAAGAATATATTAGGTATCAAGTTCACTTTAGGCGATCTATAATTCGTGGCAGAATCTAAAATAGAATTTTATTTATTATTTTGTGTCGCATAATAGCACGAAAAAAATTATGGAACTACAAGAAAATGATTGTATTTGATTTTGTTAAGATAACGAAGATAACTTCCCAGCTGCGTTTACCGAAGGTGTTAAATCGAAATCTTTGTTTTTTTTTTACCTTCCGCGAATTCGGCTAGGTCGTGAAGAGACGTTCTCAGCCTGAGAGCAGCCAGCCTCAGATCCATAAGGGTGGCGTCCAATCGCTGCGGCGTTCTCCAACCGGGGCTCACGAAGCCCAGTAGCCTCGCTATCGCGGCGGACGCCTCGCTCTGCAGCCTCTGCAAACCTTCCAGGGCGGAGTCCAGCTCCAGCGGAAGCTCCTTGCTGACTGGTACATCGTAAATCTGTTGCGTGGGTGGCGGCGGGGTCGGGGTCTTCGGTATGGGGGTGTTGTGTCGGGACGGCAACGAGGACGCTGGAAGACGCGGTCGGGGTACGTCGTAATCCGGAGCGGCCAAACTCGATCTGGAATCCAGAAATCGTTATCCCGCGGCGAAGACGAGAGGTAAAATTTCATCTTGGAAACCTTTCAAATTTATTACTCGATGGCGTTGCCAAAATTTCCTGGGG